GGCACAATGCCGGATTTGTCCAACGGAGCCACGATGAGCCTTCGCATCCAGTCCTGGGGAAGACTTGTGCCGAAGCTGTCACCGGGTCCCATTCGCTTTTCTCAGAAACCTTCCTGAAATCTCAGATAAGCTGACTCATGGTGAGGGCTTTTTGAAGGGATGAGTTCACATTGATGCTGTACTTGTTGCAGGATTCTTGCAAACATTAAACCCAAACTGGTTGATTTTGAGCGCTTCTCAGGATAAGGAACTCCATATGCGAAACCAGCACCAAGCGGACAGCCAAAGAGCTCACGTGCAAGCTCAGCGTCGGGGATAGGATCCACCTGACCCTCAGGCAACAGCTCCTCGGTACCGCGCTTCCCACGGCCATAGGTGTAGCCCTGAGAATTCGATGGATCAGTGCTGGGCACCAACAACCTCTGATGTGCTGCAAAACTGAAGAGCAATCTGGGCCTTGCCGAAAAAGTACTTTGAGCGGAAGGCTGTCGCATCCACGGTCTTCGGGCAGCGGAAATAACCATTGGAGGCTTGGCTAACCTGAGTTGCGGCTGTTTCTCACAGCGCAACCCATTCCTGGACTGGAGGCATCTGCACTCACTTGCACGATGATGCCTCTGTTCGAAAGTGAGCAAGGAGCAGTGTGATCAATCCATTTCTCAATACCATCACACTCCTCCTCATCAAAAAAGAAGGGATGGTGCCCCAATGACCTCGGATCAGTTCCACAATCATGCTCAGCGCATCACTTCGCCTTTGTGCACAAGCCAGCAAGCCGCCCACTAGCGTGCCTGCCAAATCATGAAAGTAGCAGCCATGACGAGAATCTAACGCCATTGATGGCAGGGACCACCCATCTCAACACAACTCCATCTTTGATTAGACTGCAAAACCCAAAGGCAAGGTTCCAAACCAAAACTGAGATTGTGCAAGCTTTCTCCACATCCTGCACTTCCAATATGTCTGCAATTTTCGCGAAGTTTGTTACGGCATGCTCAAGTGACAATTGTTTGATTTACCAGTGGGAAAATAGAGAGTTGAGTGCAGGAAGGCAATCACTGAAGAGCAGCAAGCACATTCGAAGGATTGATGACAAACAAGAAACACTCATGCCACAACTGTTTGGACTTTCGGAACACTGCTGAACTGCAGGCAAAATCAATGAGCTTCATGCAGAACCAGGAAGTACCCAGCATCTAACCAAAAAACAGAAACTAAAAAAACTTCAGAAACTGTCTGAGCATGGACACCGAGAGTACTTGGAGAAATGCAAGCTATTTGGCAGTTGTGCTTATGATTGGAGATTCTACACTTGAGAATTCTTGGCCTGGGAAAGGACTCCTAGCCAACCTTGAGGCAAAGATCAATTGAAGCTTATGCGCGTCGTCAAATAGGTGGACCCCAAACCTGGCTGTTTTCCCTATCCCCCAAACCGGGTATATACCTCCAACTCCCGAGGCCTTCAGAACCGACGCCGAGCTGCTCTTCGATGCGCGCGGCGCTGGGCGTGGGGTCGAGTTCTCCCGGCACTCCGCTCCAGCGATCCTGGCCATGCGATCCGCGGTTAAGGAATCCACTTCCTGGTTTATGAACTGGGTGGGGCAAATTATGGTTTAAGCATCACCTTTACAAGGGAAGAATCATCATAACCAGTGGTTTAAACATGTCTAAACCAATGGGTGGGCCCTCCCTATTTATGAACCGCTGGGCATCCCCTAGAACCTAGCGGATGGTTCAGTTTGGGGTCATTCCTTTTTGGTTTGCCAGCATGACTGGAAGAACACACTCCCAGGGCTTGCCTCGTCGCACGGCCGAGTCTCATCGCACGGCCGAGTCTGCGCACTATCTGGGTCCTGCAACAGAATGGCATACCAAACTTTCTGAGTAAAGCGGGCTTCAATCTAAGGTACCCCAGTCCAAAGGGAGCTCCTCAAAGACACAGAGTTTCTAACCGCGTCCTGCGTCACATCAGCGGTCTCATGGGGTTCGGCCACCTCAGAAAGAGTCACCGGAAACTATTCACCTCACAATGACTCAACCCTGTTGGCACCTGCGGTGGGTCCATGTCCATAGCAATGCAGAATATGGAAAGTCAGACCAAGCGGTCGTTTGTTGCTGTGGAATTGCATAACTTTGCTGGAGCTCGAGCACAATCATAGCCTTCCAACTGCAAAGAATTCGCAAGGCGAATATGTGTTTGTTGTATCTCAGTCAATGGTACAATACAAAGGCAGCTGCATTGGGTTGCTTGGTTGCCTTGGTTGCCTTGTCAATTCTTGTTGGCATAGTCACCAGCCAAGCTTCGCCACCAAATGGAGCCAAACCGCATCGGGCGCATGCAAGTGGCTGAACTTCTCTCATCTGCTGCGCAAATTTGGCCGAGGAAAAAGCAATGTACCCACATCGCTTGCCCTGGCCTCCGAAGTGTCCATGCCCTCCCCACACATCTCGGGAAACACGGAGCACTTGTAGGTGATGCCAAGTGTGCGCTGCACCTCGAGCGCTATGCATGTCCTTTGCAAAGGCAATTCGCCATGGGTCAACAGCCAAATCGTAGCCCTAGTGAACATCCGAATCCAATCCAACCACTAAGATGGGTTCTAAGATGGGTGGTGAATTCACCTACCCCAAAATGGGATCCCAAAACGGTTTTGACCCACAAATGCCATTCTTTGGCGCCCACGAAACTGGCTCCTGCCTTGACGGCCCGCTCGGAGCCAAAGCCGAAGTCGCGCAGCATGCTCACCGCCTGACCGGAGCAACACCGCTGTCCAAATGGCCTATGCGTCGGCCATGCTCAAGATTTGGATGGGCTTGCAGGAAAACCACGCTAAAAAAGCGCCCCTTTTTCAAGTGAAATCCATGGCTAGCAGGCCTCGGCTCATGAACCTCTCCGTTTAGCTGCGGAATATGTATTTTTGCGAGTTTTCCTTTGGGGTTGGTTAGAAGGGAAAATACGGGAAAGCCTGGCAACGCTGCTCCTCTGGCCTCCAGTGTCAGAGTGGGGTGGGTGCCGACCGCCACAACCGCCACGACCTGCGCATGAGCAATGAGCACCGCGACCGTCAGACCGAATGCCAACCACGCCAGGCATCGCAAAAACTTGATTAAAGACTGCCGACTCACTAAACAAGCAGAAAAAACACCAACCATCTGCAAACATCGCATCGCATTGCACCAACCATCTGCAAACATTGTAAACAAGCAAACAAACGCCGCAGCTCCAAACACTCACAAAGCGCCAAAAACAACAACCACGCAAAGCACGTCAAACAATCAAAGACTTCAAACACCACACAAACAATTACAAACCAAAAAACTTCAACCACTCTCAAACCCTTTAAACACTCCAACAACTCAAAACACGCATTCATATGCGCCAAATCTCTGATCACTCCATTCCTGCAAACACTCCAACCACTGACCACGCTAGCCACTCCAAAAAAGGCAAACACGGCAAACAGGTGGTCAGCGTTCCTCATATTAGCCGAATCCAATGTGCTTCGCTTCTTCCCATCTACGTATTAATATTTTTGGCCTCTGAATTGTCAGGAGCACCTAGACATGCTTAGAGTGCACGACTGGAGATTGAGTGATATGTCTAAAGTGAGTAAAGGGCCTGGACTGCTGACAACATGTGTGCAGTCTGCTTGGACTGAATCTCTGGAGTGTCTGACTCTGAAGCACTTGATGCTCACGTAGTGTTTGCAATTGTCTAACGCGAATGGGAGTGTCTCTGAGTCTTCAGATTCTCATGAGTAGTGTCCTGAGTATCGTCAAGAGTGTCTTGCGATGAGAACCCTCTGAGCACTTCTCAAACCACAAGCGCCTGGGAGGGAGTGGAGCCCAAGGATGCCGGCCTGGGAAATGAAGATTGAAATGCCAGCTTGTACTCACAGGCGGCAGTCTTGTCAGGGCTCCATAAGGACAGAATAGAATAGCTGTTGACTCAGGCAGAGCCTTCATCTGAGTGCTTGGCCTAACGAATTCTGGCATTGCCGACGCCTGGAAGTGCAGCCCTGCTGACACAGACCCTCAACTCCTCGACTGATTTTCAGTTGCAACCCGTCTGATGATTCACAAGACAAGTGGCCGAGAGTGACGAGCCCGGCGGAGGCTCGCGCGCTGGCAACTCAGGGCCTCAACCAGCCAAATACGTCAAATCAAAGCGCTCTTGCAAACCACCTCGGCCCCTGACTGCCTATCCCTGCCAAACGGAAGGCATCACCCGCTGATCGGTTGATGTTGGCGATGACCTCGCAGAACTAGACTAAATGCCATCACTCCACAACCGAGATACTTCTGCCAGTCTGTCAGAAGAGAGTGGTGTTCCATGTCAACACACTTTCCCATGTGTCTCATATGAACCATCCTTGCCCCGGCTTGCAGCCTGCCCCCGGCTTGGCATCCTGGCATCGTTCGCATGTATCGGCCACAGGCTGGACTCTTGGAAGTCCAAGCAGTACTGCAGGCCTCACGTCCGCACGTCCGCACGGCTACGCGACGTGCCACACAAGGCCCCGCACCTAGCAGCGAAGTTGCCATCAACAGGTACCTCCACGTCGTATACCGGTGAGCTCACTCGCCCGAAGGACCCGGAAATCAAAGGTCCACCTTTTGGCACCTCCGCTAAAAATGGACCAAACGGGAAAACCGAAAGGCCAAAAGGTCGATTCGCTTTGGGCAACTGAGTGAGCCGCTCTGACGGGATGGGCTGATTGGCGCACTCCTGCGCCTGTTGGGGGTTGGGCTGGGTCTTCACGCCCGAGATGCCCTCGTGAAGGCCTGGAAGCGGCCGACGTCTGCGTGGAAATCTTGTTCGTTGCTAGGCCAAAGACGGGGACCTGGGGTGTTGGGGGGTGGGGGTGGAGCCCACCACATTTTCGGCAGAAAATGGAAAGGAGGGGGGGGTCCAACCCCATATTCATACATCCTCAATTTAGAAAATCGGGCGGGGGGTGTTAACGGTGGTGTGTGTTTGTTCTTTTTTGGTGTTAAAAAAGAAGGAAAACAAAAAAAGAAGAACAAAAAAATGAAAAGAAAAAAACGATAGCATCGTGAAAGAAATGGGAGGCCAACCTCCAACCCTGAGGTCCGCATGAAAATGAGGACATCAATGTCTGATGTGGTAAATGTCGCTAAGATGTCCACCATAGGGCAATGATGTCCACCATAGGGCCCCCCCAAGCCATTGTCCAGAAACAAACAATTAGGAAGCCTTCTGCCATTCTTGGGTGTTCAAATCCCTGTCTCAAGACAATCACATTTGGGCGTGTGGCTTGTTTTTGGAGGCTCACGGTCATGGACCCGAGCATTGGGCGTGGGGCCACACTTGGGTGTTTCTCCTTTAGAGGGCACCTTTCTCTCTGCACGACTTCCGGGAGCTCCAGGATCCGACACAAGACACCATCCGCGAAAAGGCGATGCGGTGCTTGATTTTGCGCGGGTACCCCGTGCAAATGGCTGTTCATGTCTGAGTCTCGGCTCAAGATTTCTGAGTCCTGAGCGGCCAAGCAGATAGCTGCGAGGAGATGCGGATTTTAGAGAATGAGGTCTTCCAACTCGCAATGTTTTAGGAAATGGGGTCGCCCAACCCAGATTGAGAAATTTTGAATTTCAGAAAATGGGGGGGGGGGCCAACCCCACCATGGGAGCCCAAAATGGGCTCATTCCATTCTCCAAATTAAGGCCGAACCCGGATCCCAAGAGGAAACCCACCATTTTGGGGGTCCAAATCCTACAAAAGACACACACACACACACACACAAGAGAAAACTGACGGCCTGCGGCAGCTATGAAGAGGGCACTCACGGCGCCATAGAGGCAGAACCCTCCAGCTCCACCAGCGCACAGATCCTGTCCGTGCAGAATCAATTGTTGGGAGGCGGATGCCAATCAATAGCCGCATGCTTGCCAGTTCCAAGCAGAGCTCGGACTTTCTCAGCCTGAAATGCAGAGCCGTGGCATTAGGCTAATGCCTTGGCAGAACGCTTTCAGCGCTAAGGCAGGCTATGAAAGAAAGCCGCTGCCTCATCTGGCTTCGCCCGAACCAGAGTCTTAACTTGCTCAAAGGTGAAGCCGTAGCCAAAGGGCGGAGGGTGCGGCAAGCCCAGAAAGGCGAACCAGGCTTCGACGAAGTAGACGTTGATGTGTAGTGCTACCGCAAATCCTGCGGACGGAACCAAATGGGGGGAGTCTTTTGTTGTTTGAGGGTACCCCCTTTTGGTTGGTTTTAAAAACCAAGGGAAAACCACCATTTTGGGGTGGTCCCCCAAAAAAGACACACCAGCGCGATGGTGACTCTCGTGAACTTTTGCAAAGCCCATCCTTGCAGCAGCGAGCTTCGCAACTTGTCTGAGACACCCTTGGACGCCGCAAGCTCAACTTGCAGCGCTACGTGTCGGAGTGCGCTTGCGCTTCCTTTCAAAATGGGCCCGAATCCTTCGTCACCCGTGGCCAACAGGAGTGCTCAGCAACATTGTTCATAGTGTAGCGACAGCGCTCCGCAAATCACATGCGCCGAATCACCGAATTGCAGTGGGAGCTGGAAAGGAGTTGCGTGTTTCAGCCTCTGCCAACAACGAAAGCAGCCTTATGCAGCCAAGGCGTCGTCCATGCAAAGCCCAAACATTTCCAGCGCCTGGCAACTGCAGCCAGCGGCCAGGCAATACCAGGTGTCCTGCGAGCGCCAAGTTGCACACTGGCGACTCACACGTTCCCTGAGAAAACGCGCAGGATGGAAGTGGATTCTGAGCATAGGTGTCTTTGTGGGGGAAATAGAGGGCCTGGTGGATGATTAAACCCCCAGGCAAACCAGGGCCATCTATGTTTCTACCAAAACAACCAAAAAGGACACCTATGATGCTGACAACCTAGTCCTGCGTCAGTTCGTTCAGGTCTTTTTCCGTGAAGTGACGACTGCGGTCCAGCAACACCAGGAGGTCCTGCCAGATCTGTCGAGACAAAGATTCCGAGCTGCTGCCGAGTCCTGATCGTGGGCCCCCATCTGCTCCAGCAAGCTCATCCGGGCAAAAAGCTGCAACATCACCAGCGGCCGAATCGGATCCCAGGGATGCCAAAATGCCTCCTGGTGGAAGAGCCTGCCAAGGTCGCCTGGCAGGCAATCGTCAAAGCTTGAAATGTGAACCCATTTACTGCCAAAAAAAACGGCACCAGGAATTCCCGTTTACGAGGCTCCATCCTATACTGCCTACATCAACACGTGTTCCCTCCGCTCATGACATGATCTTTGCCAGGCCTCGCTGGCAAATGTTTGCTCGGATATTCTGCGCATCCAGCGCCAATGCAATCCATTGAGATTGCTTTTTCTCTGGGACGATGTAAAGCTGCGCCGACTGCCTACAGGGATTCACTACATCTGAAAGGACAGGGCACAGGATGCTTTTGCTCCAAAATCCGAAACAGGAGTCAGTAAAAATTTCGCCGAGTGTCACACTAGTTCCAACAGGCATCACACTAGTTCCAAACACTCAAGCAACAACAAGGATCCCATCAAACAGCTTCCTGCTAAGAGACTTCTTGGATCAGGTTTCCTTTGCATACCAGCCTCTTCTCAAGGGGCCGTCCCAATCCTTGTAAGACTTTTTGCCACCATGGCAGCGTTCCCGGCGCAGGCCAGAAGAATATCTCGCGAGGCTGATAATAGCCGGGATGAAGTGCATCAAGGTAGAGAGTGGCTCGAAGGGTATCCTCGACGTCTGAAATCCGCAATCTTCCGAAGGCGAAATCAAAGTCTTTGGGCCACAGCCGAGCCCCCCCCCCCTCCAAAAAAGAAAACAACACTTGGAAAAACAAAGAAAAAAAAGAAAAAGGGAGAAAGAAAAAGAACTCGCCCCCAACCAAAACCCCCAAACCACTCGGACCAAACCCCCCCCCCCTCGCTTCCACCTCCGGCGCTCTCCGTTGAGCTTCCGGCCCGAGGGCTTCGAAGTCCATCTCGTGCGTCAGGCTCTCGTCGAACCAGAAGCACTGCCCCGCGCGGTACACGCGCGGGGCCTCGCCCTCCATGCGCAGCGTGGAACCTGCGCGGCGCGAGGCGCGCGAGACGCGAGACGCGAAAGAAGAAGAAGAAGAGAAGAAGAAGAAAAAGAAATCTGAAGAGGATGATCAAAACAAAAAAAAGGTGCCGCCTGGTCACACGAAAGCCCCCCAACCAAATGCCAAGCAGCTGGTGGCTGGAGAGACCAACAGTGTGCAGGACAACCGCTGTCGCCCCACTTCCTTGAAGTGAAAAGGCTGCATGCGCCACAAGTTACGAGCCACGCAGGCACGCGGCCAAACGGCCAAACAGCCACACCCCTAGTCCAGACTCAGCCATGATGTGGTTAAAACATGTTTGCTGGCATTCACATCAGCCAAGCCGCAGGTGATGCATGCGGTTGTATGTAGAGCTTTCGCCTCTTCTCTGGCTCAACCTCAGGACTGCCTGCCAGCGAAGCAGATACACGGAGAATTCGGAGGCCATTCTCCTGTCAGGGAGCACACGGCTGGAGGTCGGGGGTCTAAGTTGGCGACTGGAACTTTGCGAACTCCGCCTCCAATCGCCTCGCCGCCCGGCAGATCCGAGGAGCCTCCACGGAATATGATCGCACAAGCGGGTTGGAACATGAGAAGTGAGCCTTGCCTGTGCGCACGCTGCGGTAAACTCACAATGCTCAAAGGAGAGGAAAGTCATTTCACACCAGCCGCGGTTCCTTGGGACGTGGAATGCCAGCATTCTGCCATCAACACACAGCTTCTGGAGGCTGAGAGGTGCCCTGCTCAATTGAAGCTAAATCTCTTGCAGTATCCGTTGACTTCGCTCGCCGAATGCGTCCTGCGAGGTCCCACGAATCCTGCTCTCCCAAGCCTCGTGACCGTCGATTTGAAAAACGCAGCCGGCCTCACTATGGCGAGAAGCTCGTCCAGAAGGGTATCTGCTTGGGACTCTATGTATTCCCTCGCAAACTTGAACTCCTTACCGGGCCGAATTCCCAGACAAATGCTAAACAAATGGCACACCAAAGCAACGAGGCTTTGAGATCAAAAACAACTCTGCTGCAAGAACAGCATAACAAAACTAAGCGAACCGAAACACACTTGGTTCGCTCTCAGTCCAGAAGCAACAGCTGTAGGCAACGATTGGGATACAGAAAGGCATACAGTAGTTGGGTGTGTATGCGTGTGCGCGTGCGTGTTTTTTTCTAGAAAACCGGTACTTGTTGCCTCATGAAATCGACATCACCAAATATCCAGCTCCAGGCATGCGGCGGGATGAGCTTCCAAAAACGCTTCTCCGGGAAAGGCGGCGGCTGCTTCCGTCACCGCAGGAATGCCAATGCTACTAGCAGAGGAACGCCGGGCATCATCCCAGGGGGCAGAGACGGTTCCAGTCACTGCCTGTGGCACGCCAACACGACACCAAGCAAAAGCTTATCTAGTGCTCTTGCGTCCTACGACGAAGGGGACAAGCAGCTTGTGAATGAATATGCATGATGAACCGCATCAGGGATCCCTAAGCCCTAAGTATAAGCAACAGTACGTAGACATGCACCAAAAAAACTGTGCACTTTACAACAAAGCACACTTGAACGAAACCAATGCAATGCAATGACTCCAATCACGAAACTCCTGTTTGCAAAATGTTGATCAGGCTGGCTATCACTCCTTCAACGGAGGGTTCTAGGCAAAACGCAAACACAACTGTCCACAGCACACATCGGACATTTTCAGGGTTAATAATTGGTGAATGTTGTGCAAGTTTATGGTTGGAGTAGCTTTGGATGAGTTCGGATTCTTAAGCTTTGTGCTCCAGTCTTGCAGGGCAGTTTGGGCCACACGCTTTGTTGGGGTTGTAGTATGCTAGGATTTAGGGTTGGAGTTAGCAACATTTAGATATATCAGCAATTCCAAATCAATTCAGTGTCCGGCTTGGTTTGGCTGTGAGTTTGCTTTTATGTGTCTAGGTCTAACTTCCAGGTTTGGCTTCGGATTGCTCCTCGCCGTTTTAGGTTTGTAGGGGTGCTCCAGGTGTAGTTCTTGCCCGAAACAAAGCTTAGGTTAGGTTCAGGGGTGGATTTCGGGATCTTGCAGAGTGGCTTGCAGTAGAGCTACTAGCCTCGCACTCGTTTGAGGCGAAGCTGCAACAGGAAAGCGCATCATAGGGTAGATGCGGCTAGAGTTGTAATGAAGCGAGCTCATAGAGATCCCAATAGGGGGAGGAAATCCGTGCGTAACAAATAGATGGACAACGACTTCATTATTTATGGGGGCAGGGTTGTTTGCAGGATCTGAAGTTTTGATTTAATCAGACTGAGGTTCGGTTGGCTTGGAGTGTAAACCTGCCCCTACCTTGTGTCCACGCAAGCCCAAGCATGACGTGCTTGTGGCATCCCATAAAGAGCCCTTTGAAGCTTACAGCAAGAGGGCGTTGATTTGGTGTTTGGGGCTGGCCATGAACTGGGATTTGAACTCAAGTCAGTGACCCGGCAAACTCCCAACCC